CAGGACGGCACATGTATAACCTTTACTAAATGGCTTGCGTTTCCAATGGGGGGAAGGGGCAGGAAGGAGGGACAGAATTTGGAGCTTAACATTTTAAAAAAAAATTGTTCAAATTTTTTTTACATGTAAGTGAGAAAAATTTTAAAATTGGTCAATATATGCAAATATATATTAAGTAATAAATACAGGATAGCCTGAGAGGGACAGTACTAGCAGTTGGAGTGGAACATAGGGTGGGGATTAGGAAAGGCTTTATGCAGAAGATGGTACATGAACTGCACCATAAAGGAAGAGACTTTGAATCAGATTAAGGAGAGGATACACTCCCAGTCTACGAGGCAGACATTACAAAGGCCCAGAAATGACAGATGTAGTGTCCTGTGTGAGGAACTTAGAGAAATCCAGTTTGGCTAGATTGCAGAGTGCAGGAAAGAGAGTGATATCCAATGAGACTGGAAAGATAGTCTGGTGCCAGATTGTGTAAGGATTTAAAAGCTTAACAGTGGAGTTCATATTTGATCCAGGAAATAAAAGGAAGCCATTGGACCTAATTGAGTTGGGGAGTCACATGGTCAGATCAGAGCTTAAAGAAAACCACTTTGGCAGCAGCACATAGGATGAACTGGTGTGGTAAGTCTTGAGGCAATGAGTCCAATTAAGTGGCTTTTGTAGTAATCTAGGCGAGAGTGGTTGAGGACCTGAATTAATGTGGTAGATATATGAATGGAGAGAAGGGGTCAGAGGTGAGAGATTTTTTGAAGTTAGAAACAGCAAGGTTTAGTAACTGGATATGTGGAGTGATGGAGAGTGAGGAGTCCAGAAAGATGTTGCCTTCAAGAGAAACATCAAAGGTGGAAAGATGGGAGAGTTTTAAAGGAAAGACAGTGCGTCAGTTTGAGAGGTTTTTGGGACATGCAATTTGAAATAAATGTCTAATAGACAATCGGTGTTGAGGATAAAAATCTGGCAGATAGACTGAGGCTGGCTATTTAGAGTCATCTGCTCTAATCAGTGAGCTGATTAATTGCCATGAGAGGCAGAATGGAAGAATGCATAGTCATCCTTGAAGTGAGGATTCCTGGAATTCAGGTTCTTCCTTTGACGCAGATTATAGGCAAATCACAATCTTTCCATCTTCAAGGTAGCTCTCTGAGACTGGAAGTTGTGGAGAACTTCTATCTGCATTGGTAGAAGCACTTCCCTCATTTGGAGGTTCTCTGTACCAGTGAAATAGTAAGTCCAGTTCATATCCCTGTGCTAATTAATTTCCGTACACACACACACACACACACACACACACACACACACATATTCTTCTAGCATCAGTGGCTCATTTATTTCAGTTCCTCAGATAGCATAGGAGCTACCCCTGGACCTACAGCCCCTAGCAGTGCTTTTGAAAAGAAGTTAAATTATTTTTTTCATTTAGCAAGCATTAATTTTTTTCCTCTCTTGTCTCTCCCCACCTGAATTGAGCACAAACAAAAGAAAAAGAAAATTATTGTACCAAATCTGTATAGTAAAGCAAATTCTTGCATTGGTTATGTTCAGAAATGTATGTCTCCATCTACATCTTGATGCTATCCATCACTTTCCCCTGTCAGGAAATTGCTAGCATTCTACTACTGTTCAAACAAATTATTTTCTTTATGATCATAGTTTGTTTAATATTCCCCAGTAGATGGCTACTCTCTTAGTTATAAGTTTTTTGCTACTACAAAAAGAGATGCTATAATGTTTTTGCATATGTGGATCTCTTTCATCTTTCTTTGATTTTTTTTGAGGCATAATCTTGTAGTGGTGTCTCTGAGTCAAAGGTATACAGTTTAATGAATTTTTAGACATAGTTCCAAATTGTTTTTCAAAGTAGTCAGGACCAATTCCCAGCTCCATCAAAGGAGCATTAGTGTACACCTGCTTCCCTTCATCTCCAATATTTGCCCTTCTCTTTTTTGGTCATGTTTGCCCATTTTGTGGATATAAGCTGGAATCACAGAGTTTCCTTAACTTGCATTTCTTCCATCATTAGTGATTTGGAGCATTTTTTGCATATGGTTGTTAATAGCTTGAATTTCTTCCTTTGAAAACTGTTCGTATCCTTTGACCTCGCCTGTCTTAGTGCCTTTTGCATGTGCCCACTGTACTCTTCCTTTGCCTATACTAGTTAATTAAAAAAGGATCTCTTTGCAATAGGACTTGTGAATTTTCATAATGCTTTCACATCTGTTCTTTCCATATGCTATATGTGTGACTCTTCATTTTAGTGCTAGATCATTTCTCCACCCTCTGTGAAGGCTGGGGTCATCTTTACCTTTTCTACTCTGCAAAAATCTATTACATTTGCTCTCTGAACACCATGTGCCTCCTCCATACACCTGTTGGTTTTTTCTTATTTCCCTTGGTTTCTGACTTTTTAAAAATTGCATTTATCTTGATTGTTTTATTTTGAGTTTATTTAGTCTTAGATATGCTAAATGTTAATTTTTTCCTGATTTTTAAATGTGTGAATTCCTATAAGAAGTTCTGGACTATATGGAATTAGTATATGCATTTATTTATATACTAATGAAGATAGCATGTGTACCTGTAAAACAGGATTTGGGGGGCAATAGGCCATTGATTAGCTACAGTATTATTTTAGATATTGAAAAGTAATCCTTTTATCCTAAAAATTTCACAAAAAGTTCACATTTACTATGCTTTCTATTGATATTCATGTATTATGTACTTGTACCTTGAAAATGGTGTGCATAGAAAAGGGGCAGGATAACATGTTTAACAAGGATGAAGAATCACTGCTTCATCTTTGCTGGTTAGCTCACTGGGTTAATATATGATGTGAGTAAGCCAAAGCGTTACTTTTTGAACCATGTTAGTCAGTTAGCTTTGTTCAATTACACAATCACGAACTATCCCCCAAATCTGGCCAGCCATCTGTTGTTGGTCACATGACAGAGCAGGCAGATATGTGTGTCTGGTTCAATAAAAACCTATTCCTTAGATGGATTTGGAGTGAGGAAGACCTGAGTTCAAATCCTGCCTGAGACACTTATTAGCTATTTGACCTTCAGTAAGTCACTTAATTAGCACAGTGCCTGGCACATAGTAGGTACTTAATACATATTCATTGACCATGTACCTTTTTTGGCCTTAGTTCACTTATCAGTAAAATGGGATTAATAATAGTGTCTATATCATAGAGTTGTTCTGAGGGCCAAATGAGATAACATGAAAATTTCTTTGCAAATCTTGAAGTGCTTCCAGGTTTTTTTTTTTTAAACATTTTTTGTGTCATTGACCCCTTTGGTGACAGTATGGTAAAGCCTGTGGGCCCCTTCTCAGAATAAAGTTTTTAAATGTGCAAAGTAAAATAAATAGGATTACGAAGGAAGCCAGTTATATTGAAATGCAATTATCAAAATGTCAAAAAGAAAGTTGATGTTTGACCCAGCAATAGTACTTCTAGGGCTATATCCCAAAGAGATCATACAAATGGGAAAAGGACCCACATATACAAAAATATTTATAGCAGCTCTTTTTGTGGTGGCAAAGAATTGGAAATTGAGAGGATGCCCATCAATTGGGGAATAGCTGAACAAGTTGTGGTATATGAATGTAATGGAATACTGTTGTGCTATAAGAAATGATGAACAGGCTGACTTCAGAAAAACCTGGAAAGACTTGTATGTTCTGATGCTGAGTGAAGTGAGCAGAACCAGGAGAACGTTGTACACAGTAACAGCCACATTGTACGATGACTAGTATTGATAGACTTAACCCTTCTCAGCAATACAAGGATGTAAGACATCTCCAAAGGCCATTTTTCATGATGGAAAATGCTATCCACATCCAAAGAAAGAACTATAGAGTTTGAATGCAGATTGAAGCATACTATTTGCTATTTTTTTTCCTTCTGTTGTGTTTTGTTTCCTCTTTCTGGTGGTTCCTCCTGTTGGTTCTAATTCTTACTTACAGTATCACTAATGTGAAAATATGTTTAATGGGAATGTATACGTATAGCCTGTATCATATTGTGCACCGTCTTGGGGAGGGAGGGGGAGAAAAATTTAAAACTCAAAAGCTTATGGAAGTGATTGTTGATAATTCAAAATTAATTAAAAAAAAAGAAAGTTGGTGGATGTAAAGTGTGTCTGTGCCATCTAAGTGCTGGCTAGCAAGCTCCATTACCAGGGTAGGGGAGGGGGCTGAAACCATGTGATACATTTACATGTTTATGCATCAGGATTCATTACTCCTGTGAGAAGTTTCATATGCATACAAAAACAAATTAAAAAAAAAGCCCATCCCATTCTTCCTTATTTTTAAAATAGCTTATGATTTAGATTTTGTCTGCTATGTTTCTTGTTCTCACCCAGCACACCATAATGTCCTTGAGGGTGCTACAAGGCATGGAACTTACTTCATAGTAATGCTAGCTGATCCCAAACCTTAAGGAAATGAAACATTCTGAGCAAGAACACACATTCTCTGGTTTGTCCACTCACCTACTCTGCCGCTGTCTTGTCTTTGGTGCCAGTAAAGTCTGCAGAGAATGCTACCAAGTTGACTATTTCAGCAGTTTGTTTAAGCAGTTTGCTCACTCTTGTTAATTTTTTCTTCCCTTTTAGTGATCATGAAATATTTCTGAAAATGAGATTGGAAGGCTGGCAACATGGTGTGTCATGGACTGGGTATTCTTGGAGTCAGGAAGACCTGGGTTTGAATTCTGTATCAGACAGTTGCTTAGCTGTGTGACCTTGGGCAAGTCAGTTAACTTCTTTGTACCTCAGTTACCTCATTTGTAAAATGAGAGGATTGGATTTGATTAACTCTAAGGTCTCTCTTCCAGCTCTAAATCTGAGATCCTATGGAAGACTTTTTTAGCTGCAGATGTATGACAGCTATATAAAGAATCACCAATATAATAATTTCAATTTGTTTTTGATTAAGGGATATTGATGTTCCACAAATATTAAAGAAGATCTTTGATTACTTTCCAGGAATAACCAGGGGCCCATAAATGTTGAAGATATTTTTACCAGCTTTGACAACACAGGGAATATCTGTAAGTTGCAAGTTTGTTCTCTCTGTTTATACATTTTATGAATTTTACAAAAATGAATGTGCAATGTGCTTTTTCTTACTAACATTAAAATTGTATATAGCTGCAGAAGTTATTAAAGGAGAAACTTTTTTTTTTATTGGCAAAGTCAACCTGCTTTCTCTCTTTTGCTTCCTTCCTCCTTTTAGTGGAATAAATTTAAAAATTATAGGTAAAGAAATGGATCCATTAGGGAAGTGACCAGAGTATCATCTTTCCATCTGAGTTCCTGAGAAACAGAGGATATATTGAGAGAGTAAATATTTTATCTGACTACCTAACCAGGAAGGCATCTTTCTTTACTAGAGGTATAATCCTATAGAATTTTCTCTGCTTGAAGTCACATATCAGCAGAAAATGGCAGTTGTAAAGCACAAAATGTGTTATTGACTAAATTTAATTCAGTTCGTTTTCATTCAAACAATATTAAACACTTCATTAAACCCCTGCAATGTGCAAGGCACTGTATTAGGCCCTGCACATACAAGATGGGAGCAGAAACAGTCCTTGCCCTTGAGTGGCTTCCACTCTAATGGGGTAAAGGTGGCAGTGGGGAAGAGGAGAAGATGATATAGACGTAAATAAACATATCATAGGGCAAGAGGTGCTAAGTTCAAAGACAATGTGCTGCAATCAGTTATTTTACTTAGGCATTTTAATAGCAACTTCAGGTTTACAGAGTGCTTTTTGAGCACAATGCCTGATATACAGTAGGTATTTAGTAAATGCTTGTTGCTTAATTGATTGTTTTACTCACAACCCTGTGAGACAGTTATAGGAATTACTCACATTTTGTAGATGAGGAAACCAAGTCACAGAATTGAAGGGATTTGACCAAGATAACAAACTAGCCAATAAAAGATCCAGGATCTGAACCCCGGGCTAATGATCCCCAATCCATTGCTCTTTCTATTACATTACAAGTGCCTCATGGGGAATTTGAAGAGAGAGAGAGCTCTTTCAGCTGGCATAAAAAATAATGAAATAATACATTTACACAAAGTAATGACAATCTGTGTAATTTTTTTTTCCCAAAATTTTTACCCATAGGCTGCTTCTCATTACGTCAAACACTATTGGAGGGACTTGTTCTTGTGAAGAAAAGTATTTGTGACTTTTTCTCTGTAAAGTTCTCTGCAAATGGTCAAAAATATTTAACTTCAAGTGTTTTGCTCTTCTCAGGTTGAATGAAGACCATTTGGTAGGATACTGTAGAATGTTCAATTTATGATGTAATATGAGAGCACAATCTTGCTTTTTGGTAGCGTCACAATTGTGTTCCTGTTAGATATATGCCCCTTTTGGGGGTGAGGCAGGAACAGCAAGGTTTCTTCTTGCTCTTTGGTAAATAGGATTTATCAAACAAACTCACCTTTCTATAGGTCAGGAAGGACCATGCAGCAGAGAGTGTAGACAGCAGAGAAGTTGAAGTAACTGTGAAATGCTACTGCCAATATTTCAATATAAGATAGGACCACTAGCTGGCAGCATTATATAAAATATAAATAAGGAGTTTGGGGCATTATTTGTGGCAGTGACCACAAAGTGATAATTTCCTGGAGGTAACATTTTCTGGAGCATCTTCCTATAAAGAAATTATCCAAGCAGTGAGATGAGTTTTCTTTGTGTTCTAAAAGGCGACACCCAAGGTCTCTTTCTCACCCTGGCAGCATCTACGGGGTAGTCTGCTTTCCTTAGTTCTCTGGGGCTGGTTATAATAGACCAATCTCTTCTTTCCTTATTTGATCCAGCACAAAGTTTTTTTTAAACAGGAACTTTATTGGATAACTTAAAAGTGGAGGGGTATCTGGGAGGAGTGAGGACATGTAAAAATAGATGAATTTACAGAGGGCAGAATTCTTAAGGTGCCCATCACATAGTCACACGTTTGCCGGCATATCTTCCAAGGGACGCTTGTTTCCATTTCTCATCTTGGCTTGGATCTTTTTTTCTTCCATTTTTTTCTTAGATATCTTTACTGGTTTTGTGTCCCAAGTGCTAGCCTGAGGATACTGCTCTCTAGAAGTTGCTGAAGTCTGCTTGTCCCTTTAGTTAAAGCTTGGACTCTTTTCCTCTTATTCTAATTTTCTCTGAGAACTGTCCTCATATTCTCCTCATATTTCTTAATGGCTTTTCGAGAATCTCCCTCCCCCATTCTCTACCTCGGCCCTGAGGATGCAGGCCGCCAATGAATGATCACATTTTTAATGATAGATTGCCAATTCCATTCACTTTCCTGTATTTTGAAGTTGGTCAATAATTGTTCAGGCTAGAAATAGAATTTTTCCATACACAAATACTTTATCTACTCTGATGATAACATATAGCTTTCACTAATAGTAAAAGAATAATAATGTCATAACATCTTAATCTCTCCCTTTCCCCCCCAGTGCTTTTAAAATTAAGAAGTTTAGAGCAGCTCTTATCAGTATATTTAGGCATTGGGATCAATTGGAAAGAATACTGGCTCTGGAGTCAGGAACATCTTAACCATGGATCTGTAGACTTGGTTTTTAACTTTTTTTTTTTTTGCAAATTTTATTTCAGCATAGTTGGTTTAAGAATACTGGTTCTGGAGTAGGGACAAGTCTTAACCATGGGTCTGTAGGCTTGACTTTTTCAAAAATATTTGAAAATTATATTTTAATATAATTGGTTTTCTTTGTAATCATGTGAGATTATTTTATGCATTTAAAGACACAGCTCCAAGAATACGCTTCATGCCACAGAAAAGGTGAGGAGCCCCTGCTCCAAAGTCAGAGAACATAGGTTCAAATCCTACCTGTGATGTTTATTACTTTTGTGACTTCACACAAATTCACCTCTGGGTGGGCCTTGTTCCTTATCGATATAAAGAGTGAGTTAGATTAGATGACCTCTGAGGTCCATAGATTTAGATCTATGGATTCTATTACCCTGTGAATGTTTTATCACTGCCATCAAAAGGCTGACTATAGTCATTACTCTCCTCACCCTCAAAACTTCCTTTAAAACAATCGTTTGATAAATAATATAACCTAAGAACTTGGGAATCAGATGTATTTTTTTCGCCTTATGAAACTAAGAGGTCTTATGTTTTAATGATAAACTTGTAAGGCCTCATATGCCATGAGTAAATTGTAATAATTAGATTTTATGTATACCAAGTATAGAATAATATTATTTCAAATACAATAAGAAAACATCTTTAGGCTACAGAAAATTTTAAAAGTTTTACAGGGATAGCAATCTGTTGGAGGATGCTGATGAAACAACAGCTCTTTGAATTACTACATAAGGAGAGAGCTTACATTTTTCTTTTCTTTCAAACCTAACAAACATCAAATAAAACAAGAAAAAGGGGATTGTATGTGAAACTGAAAATCTCTGTTGTCACCAGAGGGAAGGCACTAGCATGAAGGTCGATCAGGAAAGGCTTCTTGTAGAAGATGGGATCTTAGCTGAGACTACAGCACTGGCCTGTTCCATTTCTGACCTGGCCTGGTTTGCCCCTCCTTGGGCATTCTGGTGGCCCTTCTGCTCTTATTGATAGCAGAATTAGTGCTGGCACCTGATCGCCTTAGCCTGCTGCTGCTCAGTCCTCCCAAGCAGCAGGGATTACAAATATGCCTAACCTCACTCCGCCCTTATCTCCATTTTACTGATGAGGAAATTGAGGCTCAGAAATTAAATAACTTGTCCATAGTCACCAATGATTAAGCACCAAATCTTTTGGGAACATACCATTTCATGTAATTTTATCAAAAAAGCTTGTATTTTTACTTTTAAGAAGGAAAATCTACTTTGGTGTTTGGTGCATATAAATTTTAAATTTGGTGCATGTAAATTATAAATATATAAAATTATATTGATGATGGTTGGTTGTAAAATTTTATTTTATTTTATAACTTGATAATTTTACTTATAACTTAAGCCAAGCCATGCCAACATATAAAATTAACTATGTTTGAAGAAATAATTTTGCATTTTCGTTGATTTTCCTTTTATGCCTGGAGATTTTTGTGGCAGTCAGTGGGAGGCTATTGGTTCAGTATCTCAGCTAACCAGCAGAGGGCGATACAGTTTCAGTTCTGTTTCACTGACCAACTGTTAACCCAGAAACCGTAACTTTTAAACTTTCACAATGTAAAATAAAATGTTTATGGCTGAGGGTGACCAAGTTAGCTGAATGATGCCATTTTAATGCATAGTGAAGTCTTTTATGGAGATACCTGCGAATTACATTTAGAAAATACGTCTATTAACTGAAGCTCCCATTAAAAATGACATTCTTACTGGATTTTTTAGTTTTTTGTTGGTTTAGTTGGTTTTTTGGGGAGGGGGGTGTGGAGTAGGGCAATAGAGCTGGAAGTAGAAGGTACCACAGAGGCCTCCTAATCCTAGCTCTCTGATTTAGCAGCAGAGTTAACTGAGAACCACAGACGTTTTGCCACAGAGATGGATATTAAGTGTCAGAGACTGTATTGACATGCAGGTTCTCTGACTCCATGCTCTATGTTCTTTCCATTGTACCATAAGCTTGTGCATTTTGTTGTTGTTGTTGTTTTTTGGGGGGTTAATTTTGTCTTCAAGTGATTAAAAAAAGCCCTTTATTGTTAAGTGTATATTTCTTTTCTGGAAAAAGTATGTATATTTAGTAAATTATTTGGTTCAGCCCCAATAAAGTTCTTATATTTAGTGAATTACTTGGTTTAGCCCCAACATAGAAATGCTTTTGGTTTTGTTCGTTTCATGAAATGTAAAACATGCTTATAAGCTCTGTATTAGAATATCTGCTTCCAAATGGTAATTCAAGTGGGACATTGGAAGTCAGGCTGCTGCTCAAAAACAAAAAAGACAAAAATCAGATCTTAAATTATCCCTTTATTTTAGGAATTACTTTTTATATTATTGTGTAACTCAGTTTCCTCAGCCATAAGAGGAGAGAGATGACCAGATGACCTCTGAGGGACCTTTCAGCTTCA